TCGCGTCATCGGTCGTTCAGCCATCTGTCTCCCTGATCATCCGCAGTATTTGTCGATTTACGTAATCCTCGCTCGACTGGTACTTATTCCTTTTTAAAATCCTCTCGTCCGCAATCTGTTATTTTCGTAATCCGCGACAGGTTGTTATTTCTTCTTCCTTTTTTTTTTTTATTCGTTCTTGCTTTCTTGTATTCTCGGCCTTTGGTACAGGTACCTACCGATCATTTAACAGCATCTTCTCATATTATTTATGGGGAAATGGAAAAGGTTCAGTTACCTTTCAAAATAAATTACAGGTGATGTCAAGTACGATCGATTGCCCGGGCGGGCGGACGAACGTAACAAAAGAAGACACAACTTTTTTTGAACATATGCCACCGATTTGTCAAAGCATCGTATGTTTTTTAAGATTCAATGTCCTTTTTGTAAAATAGAGTTGACAAAGAATGTATAAACAACATGGAACGACTAAAATTATTCGATATATAACAAGGAATGACAAAAAAAGTTCTCCGCTTGAGATGTTATAGTTAAGATGATCAAAATTGGCAAAGTCCGCAATAAATTGTTGTGAGATTGGACGTATCTTCTTTCTTGTTTCCGCTTGGGACTGTAGTCATTTGCTGCGTTTTCAGCACGCCTTAAGTTAGGAAATGCATCATAAGTATCACAGACAAAGTGAAAAGATATAACCGAATAATAGCAAGCGGTGTAGCGATTAGGAGTTGCTGAGGTACGCATAAGATCAGGGTCAGCTTTATAACTTTTTTTGGTTGGAATTATATCTTTAAGCAAACGTCTTTGCTTTCCTAAAATCCTAAGAATGTTGAACTTTCTTTAAAGTCGGATGCCGGCAACATACTCAAATTCTGCCTGTCTGCATCACTTTCTGTTACACATTAAATGAAGTAATGTTATTCCTTTTTCTTTGTCAGTGTCCGCTGCAATTTCTATCTGGCATCTCTTTTCTACATTTACGAAAATCCCTACAACGTCTGTCGTAAGTAAAAAAATAGAAAAGAAGGAACCAACTCTTTTGAGCACCCGAAATGTAATGATTTTTTACGATCTTCGGGTTAAGAATACAAGGAAATTTTCCGATTTTTTTTAACGATTTTTTACCCTTTTCGTTTCATTTGTTTCACAAGAATGCCCCAGCCACGTTAAGAGAAGTAGTTATTTCCGATAGTTTATATGTATATAGGCAATATACTTCTTTTGGGGAATACCCGTTTATCCTTCATCAAGACGTTTTAAGGGATTCCCCTAGTGATTCGCTTGTCTTTATAAGCAAAAACTCTGATATTATTTTCACATTATTTTAACACAGTTTTCTGGAGACTCCCAGTAATAATGTTCTATACTGGAAACTAATTTTCCGTCACATGCGTCCACTCCTGAAATTTGTTATAATCGTCTAAAGTTGCCATAGATTAACATATATGAATCTCATACAATTTCAACAATATTACGTGGATTAAAAATTGCAACCATCTCATCACGAAATAACATGCTCATATTATATTTGCCCTGTGCGCCTAAATTGCTAACTTGGGTCCTATGTACAATGTTCTAAAACGAGAACAGTGACTAGGGCCCTTGCGACTTCGTGTTCACTTACCTATGTTATCCGATTTTGATATCTAAATGTATTCCACACTTCATCAAATTATGCATTTTCGCTGGTGTAACAATATAAGAAAAAATATCGACAAAGAAATGTGTAATTTGGTAATTTCGATGTTCTTGTCAGTATAACAGGTACACACATGTAGTATATGTAGATATATGTAACAAGAACTATTAGGCAAACGAAGTTGACTAACACTAGAGATCCTTGATTTTCTTAAATCTTATATATTTTCGTAGTGAATTATAATGGAAAACCATTTTCTTATACCTATTCGCCATTTCAAAAATGACAAAAATAATCATGAGCCATTATCCCTAATAATTTTGTCAAAAATCTTTCTATATTGTGCATGTTGAACACAATTGGTTTCAAAACGAAATTAAAAAGTGCTGAAAGACCACTCAAGTGATTCAAGTGATATCCTGTATTATTTTATTAAATATCTACATTGTTTTATATATATTTTTTATTTAATCACGTATTGAAAGTAAACGATTTCCATTAATTTGAAGTGTTTCAGAAGTCATGTGAATCTAACTGAATCAGTATATTCTTTGGTTTATTACAAAACTTTTAGTACGTATTAAACGTAAAACTCGTAATCTAAAGTAATTCAGCTAATATAAATCATCTGAAAATTAATACATGAGTAGGCAAAATTTGTGTCAAATAGAATATCTGTCTCATGCAATTCAACTTTTATCGCAGTAAAATAAAGTGCGAAAGTTGTCAATTAGGTATATAATAACAATGGTTTAGCAAATCAATTAATTCCGGTACAAACTTTGAAAACATTCGTACTTATATTATAAATCGAAAATATTTTAGAGAATTCTATATAAGATAGTTCAATTTCTTGAAACCATTGGTAAATGATTATTATAATGAGATTGTTCTTTTAATTGAATTAGTTAATTTATTGAAGTTTCGAAGATAATTATTTTTAATCCTTTCTGAATTTTTTTAAACCTTTAAAGATTTTGATTTCTTCATGGAGGGAAATATTTACGTTTTTCTCGAAAATTATTTAAATTTAGAAAA